GTGCCACTGACTGAAAAGGAACTTAATTTCAAATAATCTTCTTGTTCCAGCAATAGATCAGTTTTGAAGGAATAAATCAGATCCCTCCAGTTAATGGAATGGGGATCCCTGAATATGTAGAGGTCCTATGTGCACATATTTGCTTTTTGCCTTTTAGGAAATACTGTAATAAACCCAGCAAAGACTGGGTTGGATAATGAATTCTCTTTATCTGCTGGTTAAGGCTGTTCCAAGACAACTGAGAGAGTGTTGGGTGGCTTAGAGGCTGCTTTCAGTCAGCTGAAATGTAGGTAGGTTGACTTGTGTTATAACCCAACATCCAAGCAAGTGTGCGATGCCATTCAGTGCATATTAGGCAAACTTGCAGCAACACAAAGCTTGGTCTGGCTAAGAGCTTGGCTTAGTCACATAATCAGAATGAATGTAATACTGGTGACTAGATAACTACACATGTATTATGCCGAACTCAAGCCATTTTAACCCAAATTAGTGACATAAAATGCTACCCCACTGAAGTTGTGTGGACAATAAATGGAAAACAATACGATTAATTGTGACAAATGTTGACCAGTAACACTGGAGGACTGTCATCATTCCATTTCATTGCTTCATACCTCCATTACATATTACATATCATTACATATTTCATACCTCCATTACATTACATATCTCAATGAACCTCTGCCCAGCCCACTGATTTTCAGGCATCATAAAGTTCTCTCTCCATGTAGAGAAAAGAAGAGCATTAGAGTTGGAGTTACATGGCTAGAGTGGCTGCTTGAAAAAATGTTAGTAGCTGCAAGATAACAGGTATCACAATGATGAGCAAGAGAAAGATAGAAGGAGCTCCAGGCCCAGGGTCATGTCTGGGCAGGAAGAGGGGGGGGCGTCTTTTTGTTTGTTTTTTCGTTTTGAGAAACTAGAGAAGTACAGGTGAGACATTTGGTAGAATAAAAGATTAGAGGAGATACAAACGAGAGGGGAGGAGAGCCAAGGAGCTATGGGAAGAAGAGGAGAAACTCCAGTTTCTTGGGAAGAGGAGGGTTAAAGTAAATAGGAATAGGGCACAAGAGTTTGGATCCTTCCCCACACTCAATAGATTTACTTATACAAGTATGAATTACTGATTGTGTCCTATGGAAATCCACTGAAAGCAGAACATCAACGGAATTGCCACCAGCAAAGACCAAACCTCAGCCTGCTGTCCTTGAAATCTAAGGAAGATACCCACCCAGGGGTGTATCTAGGGGTTGGTCAAGTTAAGTAGGAGCCCACCTGCCTGTCCACACACTCCCCAGGCTGCTTCTTCCCTGGTCAAGGAGACCAGGCGACATGTGCAGGATCCTCTTGCAAGGGTGCAAGATAAGAGGGGGATGTGTCTCCTTGCCAAGGGTGCAAGGGAGCCTAAGTACACCTGTGTACCCATTAGTTATAGTCCGAGCAGACCCATGCAAATCAATGTACTCAGGTCTGCTCTGAGTATGACTCATGTTGGATGTCACCTTATGCCATTAATTATTTTTTGAAGTCCTTAAATGGTACTAGCCAAAGAACAAAGCCAAGCCACCCAAGAGCAATACAAAATTACAACCTGGTCACCTTTTTTCAAGCGAATGGGATGCTAGAGAAGGTCTAATGAAAAGTGCTCAACATCCTTCATTTCCCTTGACGACAATGTGAGGCAGATTATCAGCATTCTGAAATCTTAGATCCCTTTTATAAAGAATCTACAAAGAGGTAAAAGCAAGGTCCTCTTAATTATGCAGACTAGCAAGCGAGACCTGAGCAAAGAAATCATTTCATCCAAAGTGCTGGTGCAAAATTAGTCAAGAGAAGCAAATGAAGTGGAAATTGTTTCTCACCTGCTACTTACTTAAGCATTCACCTGCCCAAGAATGACTGAAACAAAAAGGGAAAGGTTTTGAGCCTAAGCAGGGAAAGCACTAAAACACACACATGCTCTTACTACACACACTCATGCTGGAAAGAGCTTGAAGTGTTGGTGAAATGTCAGGGTCTTCCGTATAACTTCCTACAAATGATACTTTTAATTGTTTCCTGTCACTGATTCTGTCTAGATTACTATCACAAGTCTGGGCAGAAGGGACAGTTGGAGATGGGAGATTAGGTTGCAGAGATGATTACAGTTGATTTTACATGCCCCTTGGTAGAAGCTGCATCCTAATAAGAGAGGAATGGAACATAGTATTGAAAGATGGCATGCCTCAGGCTAGTAGGAAAAAGCATAGTATGCAAATTCATGTTGAAAATATAGAACATTTGCAAATTGAAAGAAGAGTCTATTAAAAAAAGGAATGTGTGTTAGTGTTGTGACCACTTACAGGGTTCATTCCACCCCACCCCACCCCGGTTTAGCAACCTAGATTCATATTGGCTAAGCAAACTATGAAATGGCAGCTAAGGATATTTAGACTTCATAATTAAATAGAAATACTTGTGGACAGTCAGTTGACCAGTTAGAACAACAGAATTATGTAATAGCATTTATCTAGAAGATAAAATATGCAGGCCTCCAATATAATAGTTGCTTCCCTCTCCCTGTTTTATATTGTTGGGAAAGGAGTATCGTAAGATTGAAATTCCCTGAGTTATAAAACATACAAAAATCCCTCCCTCCCCCCCACCAGTTTTGTAAAAGGTGTTCTTTCTGTTGATATCCATTCAAAAACTCTTAACTCTGCACACATGCGAAATTTATCCCCATTTCAATTTGGGAACGTCTTCCTAGTTTATAAAATAAGATAAAAGCAATGGGGTATTTTTTTATTAGTATTGCTCAAACCATTACCCTAGACAGGGGTCTGGAAATCACATTGCTGGCTCAGTACCTTGTTTGCTCATTCTAATTGTGCAATGAACAGCCGCCAAGTATAAAGTGATGTGGGGAAGAATAGAAATACGTATGTAAGCAATCCCCATGATACCTCATTGATGTTAACATGAGCATGTGCACAAAAGATGGGGTAGGGCCTTCAATTCTACAAAATGTATGTATTCCATGAAAAGTATAATATCAGAATATAAAAATCCACGGGTAGATTCCTTCCCTACAAGAGCACACTGCCTTTATGTCAAGGAATCAGCAGAGCTGTTTCTCCTCTCTCCCTTCAGTGTGTCGAATTAGTTGGGAATTGAAAGATATGAGCACAGCTCTCCCACACAGCCTACCCCACCCCATCTCTGGCCACTTAGTTAAATTATATGACCTCCAGAATTCAAGGTGATCAAGAAGAATGGGTGCGCAGGCTGGTTTAACGGGAGACAAAGCTAGTCCTCCTATGACCCAGCCTGCGAAGTTACGTTCATGTATGAACAGAGCAAAAGGGAGAAACATGATTCTGTTGAAACCTATGGGAAATCCTTCATGCCTGTTTGGCGAAGGATAATACTCTGTATAAGTCTGCAGGAAGGCAAACATGTTCAGAGTGGCTCAGTTAGTAGAGCATGAGACACTTTATCTCAATATTTTTGGCTCTAGCACCATGTTGGGCAAAGATTCCTGCATTGTAGATGGTTGGACTAAATGACCCTCATTGACCCTTCCAACTCTGCAATTCTATGATCTGTCAACAAGAGATTAAATCTTTCCTGCTCCAATTTACAGATATTTGCTGTGGCAGTGTGTCCTTTTATGATGGGTTGTCAAGGAATTATTGCAGTTTGGGCATCACAACAATTACTAAATATAATTCTGTTACAATTCTGAATGGATATTCTTTACCCAAACCCATTTGTACAAACCAAGATATAACTGACAAGATTATTACCATATCTTACGTTTCAGTTCTCTGTTCACAAGGACCAAACATATAAAACATTTTCGCCAGTGTATAAATAGCTTCCAGCTGTTAAACAATATTAAACTTGCTAAGTTTGTTTTTAGCAAAATGAATGCAAAAGATGTGATTTATTTGCAGACATTTTATCCCTAAAGAATAGCACCTTGTTCCATCCCAGGTCTCAGCGAAAGGGTGACAAGATATTACTTGCTGCAGATTTTCCTGCTGAAATACCAGTGATATGCATCTATATGGTACTTTGACGTTGCTGGATTGAGACAGTCACATATTGCAGTCTATGTTTCTCCTTGTATGGATAATCAGAATTGTGCTAGTTGCTAGTATGAATAGTATACAATCTGGGATGGTTTATTAGCTCTGAAAAGTACATATTTCACACCTAAATTTATATACTGGCAATACAGTCCATTGAACTCAATTGGAGAAAAAATCATGGTCAAGCCATGTATACATGCTGCCCAGGGGTTAATTCATTTTTGGGGACCATGCACACAGGCATTCACACCCATCCACCACTCTAAACTGCAAATCATTTTTCCTATACCTTCAAGTTTTGGGTGACGAAAATGACGATATCCCCTGGGATCTGGCATGCATGGGGCTCTGGATGGTTAAAAGAACTGGGATATGACCATCGATGTGAGGATGGCATGAATAATAGGGAACTGAGAATATCATATGCCACGTATTAATAAAGCACATATAAAACATTTACAGTGATCATATATTACAGTCCACAGTGCTAACTGTATTTGATATGCACCAAGGTGCTGGTTGACATCTACAGCAGGAGAAGAGGCATTGCAAAAGACTGCACCCTTTACATTATACTTAATGCTTATTAGCCAGAGTCTCACCAGCCATTGGGGCTTTCTGATCTTTCCTCTTTTGCAGCATCTACATTCTCTACGTCTTGAGTTGAACAGAGGAAGCCCAGCAAAAATACATCTCTTGAACTGACAGGGTGTCCTTCAGCCACATCCATTCAAATGGTGACACAATTGAGAGAGATGGTTATGAATTATTTGGCAAAGATGCTAAAGGAGCAATGACTTTATGAGACTGTTTCTAAGTTTCCGATAAGAGCATTAAATAAGCGAATAGTTTTTATACTAAATGAAGACAGTGAAAAATCTTCTTGAATCTTGATACCAGCTTTTACCACAAGACAACTTCTGGGGCTTATTAGAGGTGGACCAGGATTATTCCTTCCTTATTTCTCATGTTTCCAAGGTTCTTCTTCAACAGCATTGAAGTCTGCAGATTTGCCGTTTGTTGCCAGGGTGACCTGTAAATAATTGTCATCAACACCTAACTTAAAGATCAAGGCACTTTTGCGAGAAATGTCAAGAATTAAACAGCAAAACTGAATATTTACAAGATTTACATTAAATCTATGTGTGAAAATATACATACGTGTTTTTATTTTGTACTGAATCAGTTCTGCCCTTTCAATGTTTCTCAATCTGCAGGAAGAACTCAAAATTACAATAGTGCTCTGTCCGCAAAGCAGAATGTTGAGAAATCAGGTCTATAGGCCTGATGTGCACAGAGATACACATACATATGTGAATCATACACACATACATATGCACATATGTTACAAAAAGCTAAATAGTAAACGGCAGAATTGATCCTCCACAAGGACCTGCTGGGAAACATCACTGTTCACTACTGTGTCCGATCGTGTAATGTTGAAGGTGCAGTTACAACTGAGTCAAACCATACTTAACAAGGCTGCATTTTACATACAAAACCACAAACAGCCATATCAGAGTCTCAGCTAAAGGTTCACACTTCAATGTTAACTTGATAACAATTGTGGAAGACCAAGAATGGTAAATCATTCCATGGGAAATACTGGCTTGTAAGCAACATCTCAGCAGTCAATATTTTTTCTAAAGGAAAAAAACAACAACCCCACAGCCAGCCAAGCACCATCTTTTTTCCCCAGTGGAGATGTGCTATGCATGGCTAGATAAGCCAAAATGGCCAATGTGCTTGTTTGACTGGGCAGAAATGAACTGGACCTTTACATAGTAAGGGAGTCTTTCATCTAATTCTAAACAAAACCCCATTATTTCCTAGCTTACCTTTCATGTTACTGTCCTCAGCTTCGCATGAAAACTTAAAGACAGGACTGATATTCCACATGATGGGCAAACTGGACGCATGGGAGCATTGGGACATGAAATCATGACAATGTACCCATGTTTGAAACAAAGCCAGCCTCTTTCTTAGATAATTAAAAGGGAAACACATGCATTATAAAGAACAGAATACACCACATATTTGGAACTGAAATTATAGGTTAGTTTGCAAGGAAGTAATGTGAATTGTGATTTTAAAAAATAATAATACAGAAAAACAGCCCATGCAACAACAATCGACATAGCTTGCTAATAAAGCATATATTAGCTGTGCAAAGCAATCAAACTAGGAAGATGTTTAGAATATTAAGTAGAAATGACATGTCATTATATTAATACTTGAGACAAAGAAACAACAACAACCACTGACCAGAGTTGCAGCAAACTTTTCTCTTGCAGGGCATTTTCTACAATTTCATTCACATACTTTTCTGCGCTGCTTGTAATTTTTTAAAATTATCAAGAATAATCCAGACAAATTTAATAGGGTTGCCATGCATCTGGAATTTCCTGTACATAGCTGGCAATCAGCAGTTGGAAACTGAGTCTGGGCAGGAATCGCTGAAATGTCTGTGGAAATCCGGACATATGGCAACCCCTGTTGGCATTGTCGTTTTCGGCGATGTTTGTTAAGACTTTGCATGCAAAAAGACTCAAAAAGTTTGGTCGAAACTTAAAATAATAATTTTAAAAAGGCTCAACAACATTTCTGTCCAGATTTTCAATATGCAGTATTTAAATGAGCATGACTGAACTATGTGCTTAACTCAAAGGGGCTCAATTTTTTAACCATGGGGTTCTTCTACACTTTATTATTATACATAACTATGTGATCTGAGAAATGTTTAAAACAGTAGATGCCTACTTCAGAGAAATAAACTCAGGTCCTAGGCATAATGTCAGAGCAATGGTGCCTTTCTTTAGAACTGGCATATTTATAAAGCCTTTCTGTCAGATTGTTTTTAGTTACAGGCAAAGCTTTGTTATTTTTAAATTACTTGTGTGATTTTAGAAACCTGATGTTGTACGCAGCCATCAATGGTTTCTCTCCTCTGTTCTCCCTACTGGGACTTAGAAATATCAGTATCAAGTAAGTGAGCTTGATGACTATCCAGCTGAAACATTAATCAAAATCTGAAATGGCTATGGAAATCCTTTAATGACAGCACATTAGGGAAAACTGTAGATCTACCTAAAGAAAAACGTTTGTTCAGTTCAATTCTCCAGCCAGGCCCAGTCTCGCCAATGGCTGCATTCAGACATCATGCTAAACAACAGTGATGCGTCCACAAGGATGAGTTTGAAGCAAGATGCAAAGCATCCAAATTAGTTTCTCATTCAGCCATGGAGTTTCCTCAAGTTCATGTAACTCTTGGTCAGGTCAATTCTTGTTATAATCTCTTCTTGAACCAAGTAATTTACAAACAGCAATAGACAGAAATCACAAAAATGGCATTGGAATGGCCCACAATGAAAATGAAAATAAAGCATAAATATTATGGCGAGCACAAGAGCTCTCAGTTGCTGAGGATGAGGTACAGTGCATGTGTCTCTACAGTGTGTCATGGAAAGCATCGATCCACAAAAGGACAGGCTTTGCATTTATTTGGGTGTCAGGGGAAGCATGAGAATGTGCTTCTTTCTTGTGCTTATCTTTGCTCCCCCTAACTGTATATAAATAGAAACAGCTTCATATTTTCTCCTCCAGGTTCCTTACAGCCTGATCTTAATTATGTTCACTTGGAAGTATCTGCCGTTGATTTCAAAAGAAGTAAGGAAGTGTGCTTCCAATTTCTGCCTTTTTCTACTCGGGAAAATGGCAGGCTCCTGGAACATAACCCACTGAAACAAATGACTTTTGTGTTGCTTCTGCTCCTCCCTGTGGGATGCACAAGAAAAATCTCTGGATTTGACTGAACTTCTGTTTCCAAACAGTTAACTATCTTGCGCTCTGAACTGTCACTTTTAAATATCATTTAAAAGGCCAAAATCACATTTGGTTGGCCGAGGGATGAGAAGAGTGGAGGAAGTGCCATTCCACCAGTGGAAAGAGAAGGCCTCCAGCAGAATGACACTTACGATGCTGGAGATCCTCTGGTATGGCCTGTCAGTGGTGTTCCACCGGTGGTGTGGTCTGAATCATGGAGTTCAGGAGGCATGTTGGGGGAGGTCATGGACCTACAGGATTTCAAGTCCCCTCGTTCCCCTGACACACTCCCCCAAAAGCCCCCAAACTATGTCACCCCTGGAATTGGTGTTGTTGACCCCCTTCCCCACCTGCGGTCCATGAGAGGGGAGGGAAAGAAACAGAAGATGCCAACAGAGAGGAAAAGCCTCCTGTTCAGGCTATAGCTACTCAGCAGGGCTTTAAATGTGGTAGCTGGTCCATCATGGATTCTCCAAACACACAAAGGCAACAGAATTGCTCTAACCTGGAGGAGAAAATGCTGGAGATTTTTTTTTGTTTTTTGTTTTTAGGCAGTTTTAACTGTTCTCATTGCCACAACATCAATTCTCCTATTTATCTATAGGCCTTATTAACTGGATTTGCAACCTTTCTTGTAATGTAAAGCTATAAGAATGCTTAACTGGACAATATTCCCCCATTGCATTGCACTGCCTTCCAAAACACCCTGTAGAACACAATGTTATTTGTAAACATGGCATGCATTAGCAATTTAAATACTCAAAGAAAGCAAACAATATATGTACTCACGTCTTTAAACTGATCAACATAGCATGCAGCATTGTCCCATTATTAGTGATACATTTTTTAAAAAATACATGCAGGTTAAAAAACAAAGGAAGATGAGGTATGATTGACTAGATGCAAGTCTCAATATCCATAAATGTGAAAGGTACCTTGCACTCATCTATTATGACAGAGTTGTGGGCTGTATAAACACACTGGTTTGAGTTGTTTTCCCTGTGGTTTTTCATGTCATCATAAATGGACTGTGTCTTGGTCATTTCAATATCTTCGTGTCCTTTGTGATGGGCATCAATGTTTTCCAACTCTGCCTTGGAGAGGTGATAGACAATGCCAGCTCCAAAGGAATCTCCCACAACATTGACAGAGGTTCTCATTCGATCTCTGCAAAAGCAAAGCACCAGCAGGATGTTAAAGTAGACCTGAGTGTCATATCTTACACCTAAAGTGGTTCCTTTAACCTTTACTAGCTTTATGTTCTTTTGAACATTTGAAAAAGAATTATAGTCAAGAGATCTCGTAATTTGCATCACCCTGATGCTGCAAAGGAAAAACTGGGTAGTTCCCACAGTCTCTTGGGATTTTTGAGAAGCTGCACATGCTCATTTTGTACAGAGAAATCCAATCATGAAGTGAAAAAAATGTGGCAACTCTTTTTCTTTTACAGGTTCATCTATGTAATCAAATAGTGACATGACTGTAGATTTTGTCCTACTGAAAAAAAACAGGTAGATGACCAATGCCGAACCTTCTATAAACAGGTGCCAAAATAGCGTTCAGCAGCAGGTCAGTTATAAATTTCAGTTAGATTGCATGAAACAATCCACTTGCAGCACCCATCCTTATCATGATGTGTGGATATGAAGTATACATTGTGAAACACTTGCCCCAAACAAGCCTGGCATCTGTAGGTGTGGTGGTTCACTTACTACCAGCCCAGTTTTAATAGGGGTCAGAGAACCTTTAATTCAACTGCTTCCCATGATGACTGTATCTGTGTATCATGGCAGCCAGTCATTGTGCCAATCAGGTGGTTTTCTTCAATCCACAACAATCATTTTGTAAGTTTGCAGTGAGATGGAGAAACATGCCCCTTCTGTGAGGTGCTGCACTGCATACTGAAACCTTCCTATGTGGAGAAAGCTACCATAGAAAGTAATTTCAGACAACCTTCATGGTATGTCCATTTCATTTACATAGGCCCTCATTGTTTCTCAATTTATTATTTAGCACCAGGCCTAAGTACTAAAACTTAAAATGTGATTCCCCCAGGCGTTTTTCAGACATAAATCATGGGTTTTTTGGCTTGGTTCCACAGAATGCTAAAAGGGAAGAAAAATCAGGTGTTCACGCTAAATTTGCAGTGGTAGCTCTACATTTCAGCAAGCATTTTAGAAGCTGAACATGAACCATTTACACAAGAAGGCCCTTTCTAATTCTCCATTTCTTTGGGCATAGCATCTCTGTGCTGGAGACCTTTCCGTGACATTTGCTAAGCTTGTCAATTTCCCCTTTGGAAACTTGCAGTTCTTGGCTACCACTAATGACTCTGGATTAATTCCAGCTGTGGACAAATAACAATGTTCTTTAAAATGCCATTTTTGTTCACTTTGGAGTGGAGGAACAGCAGGAGATCAGAACACTTAAAAAAAGATTTCCTTGTGAAGTCTGTATATATCTTCCCTACACTAAACAGAGCAAAAGAAATAAAATAATATCTAGCATATTTTATACAATTTTAAAGATGGAGTTTGCAACCCAGTATTACAGGAATTTTGAATCAAGATTGACACAGTATAATAAATTGGAGAAGGTTTACTCCTGATAAATTTTAAGTGAATGACCTGGTTTCTTAATATTTCAGTTTTCATAATGAAGAATGACTACCCTTGTATGTTTTTTTTTCATGTTTTTTCCCTTCTTCCCAGATTTCATCATGTCAGTCTATTTAGCTCATACCAAAAGTACTTAAAAAACCCCAGACATATTTTATACCTCAGGACTTGTAAGAGGTTTGCTTGAGTGCTTCTCAACAATAAAATATATTTCTGCTTTATTCAGTAACTGTAACAGACTTACAAGGTGCACTGATATAATTGCTAGATACAATAGTCCTTTGGGAAAGTATTTCAAGCTGCCCCACCAGCACCAATGGGAAGATCTACTGGAATCCAGACTACCTGCAATCTAGACATAACATGCATAACAGCAATACTCTTACTGGGGACATGTTCTTACTCTTTCTTCTCTCTTTTTTCTGTTTCGGCGGTCTAATCCAGCCTGCCAGTCGATTTAATCCAGCCCCCATGGCAGTAAATGCCCTGGGGTAAAATCTAAGAAAAAGCTCAACAACTTTGGGGTAAACTTCAATCCTCAAAAAAGCTTAAGAACTTTGGGGTAAAATTGTAATTTCAATTCAATTTAATTTCACACAAAAAATTCAATTTCAATACAATTTCATTTCAATTTCAATTTCAATTCACAAAAAAGCTCAACAACTTTGGTCGGCCCTCACACTTGGTCGGCCTTCACATCAAATCTGGTCCTCTTTGAAAAAAGTTGGGGCGCCCCTGATCTAAGTAGACTAATCATGGGCCACTTCACGTTTAAAACCGGTGCACAGAAGACCTGTCTCATAAGAATTATTTTTAGGGTGAAATAGCCTTTACAAGAAAAAGAAGAGAGGAAGGTCTGTATATTACATGACCATACTATAAAGCTGCAATTATTTCTAACAGTATTTTATTGAGTATTTTGTACAGTGCACTCTTAACACACACAAACGCATAGTAAAGTGAAACTAATTTGAAAGAAGGCCTAGGGAAGATTGTGTGAATCAGTGTGAAATCTCTCAATTATTTCTCAGGAGATGCCTAGGACTGTGCTGTGAAAAGCCCAGATACTCCCATCAATTCCTCTATGGCATTAATTCCACTATGGAAGGTTTGAGCTCCTTTTCCTTTGCGCTGCCATGATATTGTCTTGCTCAATCTGACCTTTTCTAAAGAAGCAAATGTCAGCAGCACAATTCGCCACAGGGCTTACTTCAGGGGACAGGGATTTTTTACTACATGAGAATGATCAGAAACACAATGGTAAGCCCTTAGCCCTACCCCCTCGCTAACACCTTGCCTCTGCAGCTGAATTATGGCTTTGTCCATTCAGGAGGCAGGACTTCTCCATCAAGTGAAATGTTTTTACTTCAATGACATTTCCTTGAAACAGCAAACAACCACATGCTTTAAGTTAACATCCTCCAACTGTCTGCAAACAATGCTTGCCGATTTCTGCTCCGCTCCAGTTGGGTATCAGAAACAATGCATTCCTTTAAATGCTTTGTTGCATAAACATTGGTCAGCTGCTGCACATGCAGGAGTGCTTCTTGTAGCAAGCATTATTGATCATGAAGGAGTTTACACCTGAGTGGGTAGTTAAGCCACAACATCACTGTCTGGAGAAAGGTGACAAGTTTCTTTAATGTTACTTACAAAAGCCAATCGACAGCAACAAGTAAGCTGATGTCCTGTGTGGGAAGGCCCACTGCGGTGAGGATGAGAAGCATGGTCACCAGTCCTGCACTGGGTATACTCGCAGCTCCAACACTTGCAAGCGTAGCTGTCAGACTGTGAAATTAAACACATCCACTTGTTTAGCTGGGCCTTCTTTTAGTTAGTGTTTCTCTTACAAATATGGGAACTGCTTGATCACTCCAACTTCTGTAGGAACACATTCCCTGTTATTTCAGTGCAGCCTCTAATATTGTAATTTAGAAGATTTTGACTGAGTTTAGTTTTATTAAACTTTTGATTTTGCAAAAAAAAAAAAAATCATTTGTTTTCCATAAGCACTCTTATTTAATGATTTTTGATTAAAGCAATATGTGATTCATTTAACTCATGCTAACTTGAGTATATTTATTTTCCATTATTTATAATCAAGTACAATGAAAATCTCTACACAACACATTAACACTGCCTCTGAAACCAGGTTATAGACAGAAATCAAGGTCTGCTTTCATGTCTTACAAATCCCTACACAGAAATTACTTCATGTAGAAAACTGTGTAATTCCCATGTAGGCTGCAATACGTGATGCTCTACTTGGGAACTGGCAAAAGCAGCCAAGGCTTTTCACTGTTTATTACAATGGAGGCTCACAACTTTAAACTGCTTTGCAATAGGCAAGGTCTGTAATGTTCATGTTTTCACCATCTCCAGTGTAGGGCAAGAAACCCACCTGACAGTGACTATCTGTCCGCCATCCAGCACAATTCCATTCATCTGTGCTATGAAGATAGCTGCCACAGCTTCATACAGGGCAGTCCCATCCATGTTAATAGTAGCCCCGACAGGCAAGACAAATCTTGTCACACGCTTATCAATGCCCAAGTTTTCTTCAAGGCAGCGAAAGGTAACAGGCAGTGTACCAGCACTGAAGGAGAAAGCAAAATGAAAGGTTATAGGTAAAATTCAGACTTCCTGGGACAGATAGCTCTATTGACACTCTGGGGGAGCAACCAGGCATCTTACACACACATTCATCAGGTCTCTGTCTGTCCACAGTTCAACGTCTGCCTCTTCCGTCCTGGAACTGATGTAAGCATGTAAATTCTATGGTTGTAAAACTGCTTATGCACAGTGTTTTGATCAAAGCTTGTGCATGCCCCTGTAGATGTATATATTTTGACAGTTGTTGAATGAGGGTAAAACCAGATGTGACAACATGTGCCATTAGAAACCAAGGCAGATAATTTATTTAAACAACCCAAAATTGATAGCAGGCATGATGGAATATTTCATCTGAAGCACAGGAACCCTTACCTCCTTAGTTACAATTCCAACAAAAAACGTACCCCTCGCATATGGCAATGAGCCACAAAGTAAAATCTCACTTTGGCTCCAATAAGGTCTTTAGTTTTTAAGTTGCAGGACGATTTTGTTGGGAATGACAATCTTTAGTTGCAGGACAATTTTTTGTTGGGAATGCAGCTGGGGAGGAAAGAATTAAACCTCACTCCCCCATGTTCAGAAGAAAATCCCTCCCCCAATGCATGCTATTGTACAATATTTTAAAAAACTCTGATATGATTTCTAATAACATAACTACTCCTGGTTGTCATAGGGACTAAAGAACTCAGCGAAGGAAAGGTCAGTTGGCAGAAGTGCCTTGGGAAGAGAGGGAGATGACAGCTTCCTGTTAGCTGTAGTAGGGGGTGGGGGCATATGTCTGAAACCTGAGAAAGTTCTGCTGGAAAAGCAGAGAAGATCATGACTAAAAGTCAAAGTGGAAAGCCTTGCCTGATTGGAGAGAGATCTCAGACTTCTGAAGAGGAAAACTAGAAAAGCCCCAGCAGTTATTGGTGCTAAAGACAAGTCCAGGACTGGATTTAGGGCAGGTGATCTAGGCCTGGGGTGCTGGGCTTATGGAAGGATTTCTGTCATGAATGATCTCCATGCACCTTTGTAATCTTATATGAGATGAATCCCTCATCATACAAATTGTCCATCCAAGTTGTGAATGGACTAACAAGGCATTTAGATGTCATATAGTAAAATGACCAGTGCTATTTTTTCTAGAAAAAGAGGTGCCAGAACTCACCATGAACACCTCCCTCATTCTCTTAGAGTGGCAATGGCACCACCTGAGGGGTTCCAGAACTCAGTTCAGGGCTGGAAAAAAAGCCCTGAAAATGATACTTCCATTGCAGCATTATATGGTCTAGGCCAGCCCTGGAGAAGACTTTCACCCAGCCCCCAATTCCTGCAGGCAATCCCTGAGGGAACAGATGTCATCTGAACCAAGTAGCTGGAATCACAGCAGTTAATGCTATGAACCAGGTTTGAGTTTTTGGGCACATGAAATCCAGTTTACACCTTTTCTTCATTTTTAGGTTAATTGATCAGCTCACAGGTATTGCTAATCCGCACAATAAGTGTTTGCACATTCAGCTGAGTAAGTCTTGTTAGCAAAGTATTTATAATGGCCCTGAACGTGTTGCTAACTCTGCATTTCATATCAAATACCTCGAAGCAGTGCCTAGCGCAGTAATCCATGCCTGAAAGATTCCCACAAAGAATGAGAAGGGATTTTTCCTTGTTACCACGAAGTACAGCAAAGGCAAGAAGATCCCTCCATGGATGATAAGGCCTATGATCACAGTTACCATGTACATTCCAAGTTGCCTAGCAACTACTTCCAGGTCCTTGATTGCAATGATTTTTCCACAGATGAGGCAGGCAATGCCCAGTGGCGAGTACCTAGAAGAAAACGCGGCATTAAACAAGAATGCAGTTGCAGAAGTCTGTGTCTCAAAACAGAAATGGCATCATAAAGGCAATTGATAAAGCTATACAATGTAGCTTGAAATTACCACCTTTTGATGGAAAACCTTTCAGCCCCAAATACCCCCACTATTGAATGATGGGACCAGGGGCTGCATGGCCCTATGCTGCAGAAACTGACTGAAAGAGCACTATCCTGTTGGCTGGATTCAGTCCACAGTCTTGAGGACAGCTTTGAAAGTGGCTGGCTGATAGGAGACCAGATCCATTTTTACCTTTGAAGAAGCAGATGGGGGTGACTCTCAGCCACCGGAGCATCTTCAAAGCTCTTCTGCCTGAGGATTGGCATGTTTGAAAACTGATCTGTGCCTTCAGAGGTGAAAGTGCAAATAGGTTGGCTTTCTGTCAGCACAAACTGCCAAATTTTAAAGCCCTTTTGAGACAGGACAGATGCATTTCCCCCTTTGTGTGCAGGGGGTGCTGGTAGCAGTACTTGATTTATTCTGTGTGTCAAGGGCTCTTGATAGAAGGGGGGGAAATTATCCACCCCTAATAGATAAGCACTGTGAGAGAGGCTACGACAGAAGCAGTACTGTATTATTGGAGCCCTGATAATTTATTGGACCAGAGAAAGCCACTCCCTTACAATTCCTAAAAGTCTGGTGGTGGCTTTTGCCAGGCAGTTAGGATGGTTAACTGACTCATCTGAGCTTTTCATTGCTTGTGCCAGTACATTGCTTGTGCCCAGACATTAAAATGTTTTGCAGACCAGCCGAAACCTTGCTTGCTGAGAAACCTAATACATGCTGATAATATCGTAGAAGCAAGCCTTTTGTTTGGTTGTTTTCTTTCCTATGATCCATCCCTTCCAGCAGTTCATAATGACACCACTTAGTGAATGGGTGGCTTGCCAGACCTCCCACAAAGAGACTCACTGGCCCTGCCCATAACCAGGACTCAAGCTACTGAGAAGCTTCCAGCTGGGATTCCATGCAGACAGGAACAGAGATGAAGGTTTCAACAATGGCCTTGAAGCAGGAGTGGCTACCCCATGTCCTGTGGGCTATATCCAGGCTCCCAAGCAATTTCTGGTGCCTACCCACCAACAAGGGTTACTGTGTCAGAGAGCTTTATTTATTGTTGATGATGATTAATTTTGCTGAGCAGCAGGTGGCTTAAAGGAATCTCCACTCTTATGCTCTATATTAACTTTCTTTTTTTTGCAATGTGAAACTTACTTTTTTATAGAGAGATAGATTTAGGAAGCAAAACTGGAACTGGGCTCTTTAGAAAAAGGAATGTCTGCTCTTCATCTGACCTTCTCATGAACCATCCAAGCATTGCCCAGAAGCAGCAAATCAATCAGAAGCTTCTATAAGCTTCGCACAATCCCCATTTTGCACAGTTTTCTCAGGTGCCAGGCAGTCTGCTTCCTGAAATGGTCACTGAGGATAATCCTTAAATAAGGGTTACGAAACATCCTTAGCAGATGCCCAATTTTGTTTTATGTCATTATGGTGTTCACAAGAGTTTCATAAATCACCAAAGCTGCTGGAGGGGGTGGATCTTTTCCTAAGAGAGTAGCCATAAATAATAGGAAAGAATGTCCCTTTGGATATGAAATAAAGGAATGCGTCTCCATAGACTAAATGTTCTCTTCTATGCAAATGAACAAGAGTCATGGGTTGAAGGTAAGCCTTCTGTTGATACATTGAATTAGGAATCAGTCCCAGCAGTGATGCAAGGACAGTGGCTGTGCGAAGATCAAGTTCTTCTGGGGCCAATCTAGTGTGTTCTGATAGAAGAAAGCCCTGAGCATCCGCAGTAAATTAAATATGCAAAAACATAGCAACAGCCTCATTTGATTCGCTGACCAAATGAGGTGTGGTGTGGCACTTCTGAACTTGAACTGACGAGACCTCAGCTCAAATCTCTCAGCATCCCATTAACTCCCCAGGTTGAGTTTGGTCCAACCTCACACATTCTGTTCCGGCTGCCTAGCTGTTGGGGGGGACGGGGACTGCTGTTTATGCCATTCTGAGCTTTGTGGGCTAAGGGCAGGATACAACTTTGAAAAGCAAACAATCGAAATAATTGCTGTAGCTTCAGACAAATATAGTGAGGTAGGTCATGCAGAAATTACAGAAAAGCTACAAAATGATGTCCAGAATACAACTGGATTTAGCGTGTCTTGGCAGATGATGACTTTGACTCACCACATAATCATGGTCACCAACTTCATTACAATCTCGTTCAAGATATTGAAGAAATCCACCATCATCTTGGCTTGTTCTCCCATCTTGCCCATTGCAATACCAAAAGCAATGAAGAACCCAATGAGTCCTGTTGAAAGAATGCTAAAATATTAAACGCTACTGAGGCTCTGTCAAAACGAAGCACCCAGACTCCTGCAATCTTATTAATTAATTTAAATATAAATAAATAAATAAACCTTACTAAATCAGGCTTCAAGTCAGCTCAGACTATTTTTGTGTCATGAACATGTTGCAGAATACACCCCCAGTAAAACACCGGTCTGGAAGGGCCCTCTCAGGAGAAGCTTCGGGGGGGGGGGGGGGGAGAGCACAAGGAACAGAGTGGGGAAAAGATAATGGCAAATTTCCCTTGCACAAGTGATGCATGTGATACAACCCACTGCTATTAATATCTTGCTGTAACCTGTTATATGATGACTTGGTTTCTTCGGGTGTTTTGGTCTATAAGTCCCATCAGTCCTGCCCTATGCTAGGAAGAACAGTGTTCCTAGGAAAGTTCAAGCATGTACTGTTCTTATTTTATCTCCTAACAAATCTATCATAATATAAAAGATTGTCACGATGACCAAATGAACCATTCATCTGTATATGTGTGTAAATGCTCAATGATTGGCAGTTCTATTTTCCTGAACAGATTTGGATTCTCCTGCCACCATACAGATAAACAGAGGAGGATATGCAAAAATGAATATGTAAATGTGAGTATATGTAAAGGATATGTGATATGATTTATTGGACTTGAATATTGCTTTACATATATTTTAAATTAAAAAGTCTGAAGGCATTTTACAGCATATATAATATGAATGCATTAAAACATTTAATCATTTAGTTAGCCTTCTTACCTTAAGGTCCCAGGGTGGGTTATGACAAGATAGCAATATATTCAAAACAATGCACAATATTGCTACAATAATAACCGTGAAGCACACAGTGTTTCCATACCTAAGACATTCATGCCATCCTTAAATTCGAGGCCTTTCTTAATGATTAGCTGAGGCTCTGGCGTCACTTCTGTTTCATTCAACATGTCAAAGATGGAGTCTGTTGCATTGGCTGGTTCATCGATCTCTTGAGGGACAAGCACTTTCTTGGTGACCGTTTGAATCTGAAAGAATCAAAATACAGGGCTGCAAATTCAGGTGTAAAGTTGCCTGCTACATAAGCAGTGCAAACTCTGAGCTTGAAATCCCCCTTCTAAATTTCTTCTGGCACCTGCCCTTGCAAATCACCAGTGCAACTAGGTAAATTTAGACCCTGGACTTTATTGTCTTCAGCAACCTTGCACAAACACGTTTACATAGCTCTATGTTACTGCAGTACACAATTACACCATTTGCTTCTTCCCCCATCTCCATTCCATGCTTTACAAGAGCTTTTGTATCCTTGTTATGTTAGAGCAAAAATTAAACAAAAAGTAGTTTGCCAGCCCTAATAAAAAAAGAAGTACTTTGAACATGTGCCGTTTCCCATTTTAAAGAACTAATTTAATTAGCAGCATCATGACTATAGAAAAAAAACGTACTGTGCTTCTGCTGCCCTGATGATAAACTTGAGATTCAGCACCATTTTGTTGTAGACAAAGACTAATATATATTTAAAGTAAAAATAACATGAGCATCTGTAACCATGGACATGCTTGGCTGCTGCCTAACTATAAAAGGATGTTAAATAAAAGAAGGAAAGGATGCCGTGGTGGCGGCGAGTGACAGTCCCAGCATGCCCTTGTTGGCCGAGATGCTGATGCAGGGCCTGTCTGCTACTGCCTCCATCACCTGCTGCTCTCTGGGTGCTCAGTCAGGGCTCTTGTGGTTTGGGGAGCCCTGGACATTGCCAGTTTTGTGTATGCACCTTCTAGGTCCCTTTCTGGCCTCTCTGATGCAATGCCCAACTGTGCTTTTTCCACAGCCCTTTCTTCTCTCTCTCTTCAATTGTCATGGCTCTGACGCAACAAGTCAACTACAGTGGTACCTCGGGTTAAGTACTTAATTCGTTCCGGAGGTCTGTACTTAACCTGAAACTGTTCTTAACCTGAAGCACCACTTTAGCTAATGGGGCCTCCTGCTGCTGCTGCGCCACCGGAGCACGATTTCTGTTCTCATCCTGAAGCAAAGTTCTTAACCTGAAGCACTATTTCTGGGTTAGCGGAGTCTGTAACCTGAAGCGTATGTAACCTGAAGCGTATGTAACCCGAGGTACCACTGTACTAATATTTTTATCTATCGTTTCTGTGAGAAGTAGATAAATAGTTTGGGTTGTATCAAAGAAAGTAATCCCATTCACACAAGGATACGCACATGTACGATGGTATCTCCCATGCCTGTCATCCCTCTGAGCTCCCCAAAATCTGTTCTGAGTTTCCCCCAAGCTTCCAGAGCATATTTAGGGGGGCACATAGGGAGAGGAGAGGGAAGGAAAGTTTCATTGAGCAAGCAGGAGTCCTTGTGCAAAAAGGACAACTTTGCTGTATTCAAGCCATAATCCACGAAGTCCATTCGAAGAATGACTTGAAAGGTCTAGCTGGCAATGGAACAGAGGCAGAATTTCTAAATCTAGTCAATATTCAAAAATAGGTTACCAGTCATTTAAAAATGCTGTGTGTCCTTCTTAATATGCAGTGGGAATGCAAGGCATTCAAGTCTGCAGGAGGTACTTCCTAAAGAGTCTGTGCAAAGTTGATTTTGTATTGCTGAAATCACACATGCAGTTTGCTCAATAAAAGGGGAAGAGTTAATTCACCAGACAATTTAGTCAGATAGCAGGGTTAGCAAAATCAGCCAACAGTTATATTTGTTCTTTCTGCTAAGCTGCCAGTCATAGTGGCATCATGAATGATTAAGGGAACAATGCAGATTACGCTAACCATTTTACTACATTCACATCTTATTAATAATCTAAAAAAATGTGCTTGAGCACCCTGCGGAAATGTGTGGCTTTGAAATGCAGCAAGCAAAAGCAGAAGCTCTTAAGCAAGCCAAAATTCCTACATATTTTCATGGAGTTGATTACTATCTTGAGAATTCTGTCATCTTTAAAATATTACAAAGGCTCTGAGAACAGCAGAATTTCCTGCAACTGAAGGGTTATTGCTGAAGACCTTATTGGAAACAAAGCAAAATTATGGAGTTTTGGCAGCCTTGGTGAGACCAGGCCTGTCGTTATCAGGGACTGTCACATCAGGATTTATTCTCATCACTAAGGCACTGTATGCAGCTGTGGGAAAAGCTTTGGTCACACTGACTTCCACCTGTTCTAGTATGCGCTGAGTCAGTCATGCATGCCCAGTGCAGGCTGGTTTTAATTCCTGGTATACCAACAGGAACCATAATAAAAAGTCAGTGGCTACAAGTGCATACCAATGTCCCAGAATGTGCAAAAATGTCTGGGAGTCAACCCAAGTTAGGCTTTCCTCCCCTGTAACTACAATACAGGCCCTTATCTTAAACTTGTCTTAACAACACTAAGGCTTTGATACGCAGCTTGAAATTCCATTAATTCATATTAGATACAGGGCACTCTAGTTCATCTCCTCGTCAACCAGTCCCTTCCATTTGATACTCTGGACAAAAGTAGACAAAATGTTAAATTACTTATTGGACTCAGTAACATACGAAGAGCCCTGCTGGATCAAAACAAGAGTCCTCGGTCCCATGTCCCATATCCTGTTCTCACATCCAGATGTCCCATATCTCACATCCCATGTCCCATATCCTGTTCTCACATCCAACCAGATGCCTACAGGAAGCCCACAAACAAGCAGGAAATGGAGATATTTTGATCTTGCCGGAATAAAAAAGCCCAGCCTCAAATTCCTCCTGCTGTATATATGGGGATGGGAATTGTATCTCCTGAATTTCTAATTAACCTGCAGCTGTTAAAATCACAGGAAATGGAAGAAAGTGCTAGTTCAAACCAAATTAAGGCAATCTGAAAACAAACTGTGCAGATTTGTTTGTTTGTGGATGAAGATATTTCCTATACTGGAGCTGCTAAATAGTTCAGCTTCAAGGTCTTATAGGAAGGTCTAGCAGGACTTTAATTTTCAAGTAGTTAACTGCTAATTACTTAATTATTCCCTTTGCTTGCCAATTAAGTGGGAGACACATAGTTTAGAATTAAACACTGTAGTAAGTTGTCAATCATTGCTCACCCTTCAAGTATCACAGTTTCTTAACTATCTTGACTTTATGGAGATGGCTTGAATAAAGGTACAAAACCATACCTGCTTGTCTTCAATTATCCTGGGGCAAAGGGCCGGCAGACATCAAGTCCTTAGGAATGAGTCAAACTCACCCTGTTGAATTTTCAAAAGCTGATAGGCAGAAGTAGCTGATAAAGTGGCTTGCTAGGTAAAACTGCTAGCAGAAATCATGTGGGAACAGAGGAAAAGGTAAATTCCTGCCCTTGAACCTGGGACCCTCAGCAGGCAAAGCAGAAGTTCTACCACTCAGCTACAGCCCTTCCCCTAGAGGCACATTGCCATTTAACTGTTTACCCGTTACCTATGTTAGGCAGGTGATGAAAATCATTGAGACAATGGCTTCTATTGAGTTCCCCGTAAGCCTATTTGGAAAACATTTATTCTTGAAATAGAAGACTGTATATTATGATTATGATTGTTATCACTACTACTACTACCACAATGTGTGGGATCCAACAGAAGGCGAGTGCAAAGTTTAACTCTTGCACAGTACAGTGGTACCTCGGGTTACAAACAACTCGGGTTACAGACTCCGCTATCCTGGAAGTAGTACCTCGGGTTAAGAACTTTACCTCAGGAGGAGAACAGAAATCGTGCAGCGGCATGGCGGCAGTAGGAGGTCTCATTAGCTAAAATGGTACCTCAGGTTAAGAACGGTTTCAGGTTACGAACGGACCTCCAGAACGAATTAAGTTCGTAACCAGAGGCACCACTGTATAATATTAAAAGTTGTGCTAGAGCCTTACCATTAGGCACCGGAGGAGGTGGGAAGTCCCACTGTCAGTCATATGCAAGTGCAGAGTTACAGAGTGGAGTTACCCCTGCTGACGTCAGCACCCTGCACTCAAATCTGAGGAATTATCCATTCAGCAATTGCACCATCTGGCCCTAACATTAGACAGAGTAAACACCTGTCCCTCATGAAATGGCAACAAGTGGTTAGCTATTTCATTTTTTTTTATTGTATTTCTGCAATCAGAAAGGGAGAGATGCTTGTAGAATATTCAGTCTCACATGTCAAAATATCTTAATAATGGGTATTTGTAATCCAGCTTGCTGTGGCATTTCCATTTCCCTCAGGCAACAAAATGTCTAGGGCCCAGACCAATCCCTACCTCCAGTTCCTGGTGCCAAAAGGTAAAAGTGGAAATTCCCTTTCTCCCTCTACTGCTTTGCAACCACCAGCAATAGTATTCCCCCCCCCCAACAAACGACCTCACTGGCTGCCACTGTTGACAGGTATGTCTACCTGCAGGAGGCAAGTACTGTTATTCTTGGATTTTTCTAAAACCACAATTCTCAACTTTTTGAGCTTCAAGGAGGGTTTCGTGCTGACACAGGATTCTTGGAAGAGTTCAAGGGTGACACTCAGTTCATACAGAATACTGAGCCTGTTGTACATCACTGTCCCTGCAGGTGAACTGATAAGGCAAGGAAGTTGTTTTTCTTGTTGAGGGACCCTAGAAAGTACTCCAGGATTCTGCAGCCACCACTATGAAAACTAATGTAAGAAATGAAAGCTATTGTGTAGACTGGCAGTAAGAGTGCACATGATGGGCCTCTGTTGGCCACCAAGCTGAATCTAACATCTTTCCTAGAAAGGATCCAATAAGCCTTTTCCTTATGTACAGGTAAAATTGTATACATGATCAGATAAAACATGGTTGTATAGAATGGCAAATTCATAGGCCCAGAAGAAAGAAATTTAGCCATTTGGCCTAATGTCTGTCTTAAGAAGGTTCATAAGATGGTACGTACGGCAAGGGATTCTTTTATTTTAATAAGTAAAATTCTGGAGTTAAAAAGGGGTCGAAATGCAAATTTTATTTGTTGGGCTGCCACTTGCTTAGGGCTGCAAACACGCTGACCTGTGAGTAAATGCCAGTGAAAGCTAACGGCTCAACTCTAACCCTTACCACAGACGCAACCCAATAGAAGGGGTTGTGACAACCATCATATCCAGAGCCCAGCCAAGCATGCAGGCTGGAGGTGGAGCTGGGGAAACAGGTAGTTGTGCCAGTCTACAGCTGCCACCAGAGGCGGAGCAACCTGCTCTGGTACCCGGATCGGCGCTCGTCCCAGGGGGCATGGCACGCCACCGCGGGAGGCATGGTGCACGTCCCAGGGGTGTGGTGAGCTGCCCGGGGGGCGTGGTGCACGCCTGGGGGGCGTGCGGTGAGCAGCGCACGCCCTGGGAGGTGCCGCCAATCAGAGGTAGGCATTTTGTCTCCCCCCCCTTTGGAATGACCCCCCGGGCGTGCTGCCCCCGCCTCAGAACGCCCCTGGCTGCTGCAGCAATCACATCCAATGCCACCACATGACAGAACCTGGATCCGAGGCCAAGCCTGTCTTTCCCCACTTCTGTAGATCGTGGCTGACACTCAGTGTGGGCAGGGAGTAGTATTCTGCTAGCTTTTACTCTGAGTAGACCCATTGACATTAATAAACATGTCTAAGTTAGGTCCATGACTGTGGTCTTTTGCCCAACATGGGGCTCATGCCCACCACCTTGAAACTAAGAGTGTCGTGCTTAACCAGCTGATCTATCCATCTTAACCTTAACAAATACTTGACCGAAGTGACTGTCGATGAACAAAGAAAGCTCAAAAAAATAGTGAAGTAATTGAAAGGAGCTGCTTGCCAGAAGACATTAACATTACAATCGCCCTGAGATTTATAAAAGGAGTGAGAGTGCCAATATAAGAAGTTAGTAGCTTGCTTCCCAGTCAGCCCATTTAGCCAGTCTTTCAGCTTTCTACCAGTCAAGGGGGCGATTCCCACATCCTGTTAAGCACAATTAACTGGAAAGGGAGAGACCAGCGCAACAGAACACACATTGTTCTACTTTTTGGAACACACTGTCTACCCATGTGACTCTCCTTTTGATGATACCGTGAATAAACATGTCTTTCAATATTATAAGCACCGGGAGGGTGATAAAAGGACTGATGGGGCTAATGTAAGTTAGCTACTTGCTCCCCTTTCAGCCCACTATCCCATTCCTCAGCTTTCTACCCATCGAGGGGCCCAGTTATCACTTTCAGTAAAATACAATTAGCTGGAAAGGAAGAGTTCATTTCAGCGTTTAATGCATGCTGTTCTAATTTTGGGAACGTACTGCCTCTACATATTTGACTCTTCTTTTGATGGTATATCGAATAAACATGCCCTTTAAAGCTACTCAGATTTGATTACAATTCTAAGCACGTTTACATGGAAGGTAGCCCCACTATAATCTGTTAACTTTACTTTTTGGTAAACATAGTTTAGGACCGGGCTTTTAGGTGCTCTTGGGTGCAAGGTAAGAGAGAGGGAAAATGCAGCTAGCTTAGTTCTGCAGCAGTTTGCATCTGTCTCCCTATGTGGTCCTGTCCTTCCTCTGCTCCCCACCCACACGGTACAGCCTAGAGCTACGACATCAGATAACATAGCACTTAAAATCCTTTAAATGGTGCCATTCAGGCATACTTAGCAAAGGATTGGCAGTGGATCTTGCTTGGATCATTAAAAAAAAAAGGTCTGTGTAACTGTCAAATAATTTAGCTTCAGGAAAAAGGCTGCTCATACATGTGTGTAGAGCTGAAAGCATGAACAACATGGCTAACATTCATACCACCCTTTAAAAAATCATGTTAATATACTTTTCTGATGAAATATGACTACAGCCTGAAATGTTTATCTACTTAGTAAGAGTAGAATAGGCAACTGCAGGAAAAACTTCCTTCCCTCCCCAGCAATCACCCTGTGACATGCCTCACCCCTAAGTAGGTGAATACACCCACCATAGGTTTGCTCAGTGCCAATAACTTTTGACTGCTTGGGCACTTTTCTTCCAGACATCAAATTGTTTCCCCCCGTGCAACAGTGGCCACGGTGGTATTGTATTCTCTAAGCAATGTGCTGAAGAATAGAAACAGCCTTCAATGCATCAGATTTTACAGATATTTCTGTACGAATAATTATAATATATCCCCAGGCCTAAAGTGGTTATTTGCTGGAGATGAAATAAGGATTATGCCTCTTTATGTCTTTACAGTGTTCTATAATTACTAACTTCTGGGAGAAAGTGCTGGACTATATAAATATGATTGTACGGAAAAAGTTTAAAAAATTCAGAGAACATTCTTTTAAATTATATTCCTATTAAATGGAAGCAGAGAATGGGACAACAAAAATGAATTCCATGTGCCCTAATGCTGGCTAAGAGACTGATAGTGATGAATTGGAAGAATAAAGATATGATCCCTTTTAATCAATGGATTGACAACCTGACAACACTCACAACTTATGAATGGATTGCTTATAGACACAGGCTTTGTCTGGATGAACATATTGACATTTGTTATGAGTTTATACAGAATGCAGTAGGCTATTAATAACCACATATGTAGTAAGATACTAATATTGTTTATATCTATATACCAATATGTGGAAATGTAATTGATTTTACTAATTGTATTACACTGTACTTTCTGCAGTTTTATTTTCCAAACCCTTCGTTTCTTTTTCTCTTATCACTTTATTTCTTTATAAATGAAATTATTTTTTTTAAAAAATAATAATAAAAATAATAAGAATATACCGTATTCCCAGCCCTGTTAACTGAAATACATGAAAAATAAATGTCTGTGTGGAGTAAAATATAAAGCATGCTCTGGTCAGATATGTATGGCCCAAGACATTTTGCTGCCCGGGAAGCAACTGGGCCTGCCTGCCCTCCAAGTACACCAGACCTGTGAAGTTATTTAGTTACCTAAGGCAGAAAAAAACCCTCACAAACACTTCACCTCCAGTCTGGCAATACAAACACAATAATCATAAATTAGATCATTAGCAATATGCTGCCCTTCCACGATGCTCAGAATTGGCTGCCTCACTCTGCCTAGTGATAGGGCAGGTCTGGATCCAATCAAAGCTAATCATATTAAGCTTAACTGACTTTAATTAAAACCAGGCAAATTAGTTCAGAGCGCATGTTCATTGACGGAAAATCTTTAATTGAAAAGCTCGGCAAATGGCATGGAAATCAAAAGTATTTCTGTGCTTCTCCTCTCCTTCCACACAAAAGACAGACTTTTAAAGCTGCAGGGAAACAAAAATAAATTCTGAAGCTATATGGAGTAGTAAAGAAAAAACTGAAGAATGTTTTTATCAAGAATGAAGCACTAAAATAAACTACAATGCAAACTGAACAGTGCAAAGAATGAGGAACTCAGTAGAAGCACTGATATTTGTTATTTTGTACTGATAAGTATAAAACAAGCTAAATTTACAGCTGCAAATCTAGTTTTAGTTTCTTCAGTTCTTTTTTTAGTGTCATGGTTTTCACACACAGGATATTAGTGGGAGGCAAAGGTTTGACATTCACCTGCTGAAAGCATGCTTGTACGAGGTTTTCTGGGAACAAGTTTCGGATAAGATCCAAGAAAGCATCAAGGCTGGACACTTCGTCATTCTTCTTTCCTTCTCCCAGCTGTTTCTTGAGCTTTGGATTGCCTGGGTGAATGGCTAAGACCAGAATAACTCCCAATATAGCAGCAATGATCGTCGTGGACATATAGTAAACCATAGCTCTTGTACCTAACCGACCGCTAGCCTTGGCATCCAAGCCAGACAGACCTGTATAAAAATGCATTGTGGTGAGTTAAAGATGTTGTTCTGCAGTTTGGACGCATATGAAAACATCAGGCAGGGAGTGATGGGAAGAGGAAAACAACAACAAAGTAGAACAATTACTCTGGCTATTAAAACCATGAGGTCAGCTTGCACACAGTTCTAAGATGGAGATCACAGGCTGAGTAAGTCCCGCACAGGTACTACATCCATAAGGTTACACACTGAAGATTCTGGGAGAAAGAATCAATGGCTGCTTTCACTCTTCTTGAGAAAATAAATCCCGACTTATAACCCTGATGTCTAGATGTAACATATTTGTGTAACATCTTGCCTGATGAAGTGTTCTGGCAAACTCAAAAGCTTGCCAAAATTTTGCAATCCTTTCAATTGATCTTAATAAAGGTAGTACACAACTGCGGACTTTGGAGTTTTTTCCAACTCTGGAGAGTTGGGAGGAGCTTCAGAAAAGATTTAGCAAGTGCACAGAGTGAGGGGAAGGAGAAAGTCCTGTTGCACAAGCAGAAGTTGTTCCTCTTGCACAAGGAGTTACTTAGTGGTGTTTTGGAGACAATTTTCAAGGCTAATGCCGGTACACTAATATGAAGAACACACACACTGTTATGAGAGTGTATAAAGCTGTGAACATGACTCTATAGGTCTTAATCTCTCACAAAAGATTAACCTTCTAATTGTTTAGAACAGATCTCACCTGTGATTAAGCTTGAAATAATTAAAGGAAGAATCAACATTTTTAGCATCCGCATCAGGATATCTCCTGGGAAGGCTATCAACATGATGACATCAGGATTAATAGGTGCTGCCATGCGAAGAAGTGCCCCACACAATGCGCCCATGATGACACCTGGATAAGAAAGGGAGGGCACAGAAGAAAGGATTTGAGTAATTGAGTTTCAATTCACCACATAATAGAATAATCCTGTCAAAACACAGTTTTGGACCAGAGCTAGCTGTGCCAATAATGGCCGCTTACCGATCCTCCTCGGTGAGCGGTGGTTGCAGCCTTCCCTCCCTTGCTGCCCGGACACAACGGTCCATTTTGTGTGCAGCACGTCCCCCTCGGCCTCTGCAGAGGCTCACGGGTCCTCGTCAAGCCCACTGATTCAAATGAGCTAATCCACAGTGGCCTCAAGGGGGCATGGCTTGGCGAGCGGACCTGAGGGAGGGAGGCTTCACTCAGGTCCACTCACCAACAGTCAATCCCGGCTAACCCTGAATGTTGTGGACTCTCACTATCCCTCTCCAATGGCCATTTTGGTTGAGGCTGATGTTTTGTAGACCAAAACATCTGAGGGGCACACAACTTTGGCTAACTTTGCTTTCTCCTCCAGAAATCCGCAGTGAGGAGGATGGGGATAAAATTACAATCAGTTGACTGTCTTTTATTGGCTCTGGCTCCACTTACTATTGGTCTCCCTGCCTTCCATCCTAACAGTCCCAAGGAGTGACACCAGTCACTTCTGACCACCTCAGAGAAATCACCTCCAGGTACTTGAGGATAAAGCAATCCTATATACAGCTGGAAAACTGAACACAGTGGAGCTTATTTCTGGGTGGACATATAGGAGTGCACTGCGTGACTGGGTAGGTGTTCAGCCTTCAGTGTCCTCCTAAAATTACCAATTCCATCTTCCTCTTAATAGCTATTTATATTATTCTGTCCAACCATAATGGCAAGCATTCCAATGTGGCTAAACCAGAAGGTTGTATAGCAACCAGCAGTGTCTATTTATATGAGCTGAGGAAAAAGGGAGCTATCTGAGATGAAAGGTCACATGAACAGCTTTTTCTTTTCCAGCCAGGGAGACCCTGGCTTCCTGCTTTCACTTACCTCTACAGGAAGCTCCCTCTTCAATTACTTCCCCTTGACCCAGGAACTAACTATATACACAGAGGACTTCCAGAAAATGTACATTTTCTAGGGATTTTACACAGCAGTAGGGAAAATGACGGTCATAAATAAAAGCAATACCCTTTCCTAGGCCATGGTTCCAATAGGGGTGAATGAGAAAATACCAGATGGGAAGAGCCTTAGCTCAGTGGCAGGGTATCTTTGCATTCAAAAGGTCTCAGTTTAAGTCCCTGCTGTCCCCAGATAGGAACTGGGAGAGACTCCACCTGACATCTTGAAGAGCTGCTGCCTGTTAGTGTAAACAATATTGAGCTAGATGGACCAATGGCCCGGCTCATTCACAGCCTCCTGTGTTATTGCTCAGAGGACATTGAAATGAAGAGGAGATGAGTGGGGGTGCCATGGCCCCAGAGTCTAGTAGTGACCAGAACATTGAGTTGGAGAAAGAATTGTAGCTCAGTGGAAGATCATTGTCCCAAGTTCAATCCCTACCATTTCCAGGTAGGGCTGGGAATGGTGGAGAGCCACTGTCAGCCAGAGTAGATGGTAAAGGGACCCCTGACCATTAGGTCCAGTCGTGGCAGACTCTAGGGTTGTGGCGCTCATCTTGCTTTAATGGCCGAGGGAACCGGCGTACAGCTTCCGGGTCATGTGGCCAGCATGACTAAGCCGCTTCTGGTGAAGCAGAGCAGCGCACGGAAATGCCGTTTACCTTCCCACCGGAGTGGTACCTATTCATCTACTTGCACTTTGACGTGCTTTCAAACTGCTAGGTTGGCAGGAGCAGGGACCGAGCAACAGGAGCTCACCCCGTCGCGGGGATTCGAACCACTGACCTTCTGATTGGCAAGTCCTAGGCTCTGTGGTTTAACCCACAGCGCCACCTGCGTCCCCAAGTTGACAGTACTGAGTTATATAGATCAATTGTCGGACTTGGTATGAGGCAAGCTCCCTCGAATATTATTGGATTTTGAATAAGAAGACAGTTAAATCTGAATGAAATGAGGAAAAACATGGGCTGTCATTGTGATATCAGATTCAGGTAGGTAGCCATGTTGGTCTGATGCAGTCAGAATTTTTTTTTGTCCAGTAGCATCTTAGAGACCAACTAAGTTTGTTCTGGGTATGGAGCTTTCATGTGTATGCACCCACACAAAAGCTTATACCCAGAACAAACTTACTTGGTCTCTAAGGTGCTACTGGATAATTTTTAAATTTTTTATTGTGATATCAGTAACTCATGCATGCATGAGGAGCACTGATCTCACATATACAGTCACAACTCCATCTGGCAGCACCCTTAGCTTCAATAAGGTAGCAAACTCATGCACCCTCAGACAATTTCTGAAAAACTGAATTTTGTGCCTGTGATTTCTATACCCCTCCTTCACAGGCTCAAAATGCAGCAGCCTCCGCAACAGGGCTATCCATCATTAGAGTGGTGCGTAGATTTCCCAGGGTGCAGCTTTAATCTAACCAAAAATAATTGTTGTGGGATCCTGCTGGGAAAGGCTCACAGATATCTCACAACTATCAATCTGAGCCAAGAGCTGATGTCAAAATAAATACACCATTTCAAAATCTTTCAGGACAGGAATATATTTAGTTCAGGCTATCTACACAGCCTTCTCTTCTAACAGCACAGCTGTCCATTCAAGCTGAAGTGAATAAAGGCAGGCTCTGTGAAGGCCATGCATTTGGCTGTTAGGCTCACTGTACTGTAACATTAAAAGAAAAAAGAAAAAACAATCTAGTAAGCCTGGGCATGAAGCCAGTGAACCACACTAAAATGTCAAACTGCTCCATATTTGGAAGCTGCGATACCCAGAAGGCAATTGAGAAAACTAGATCACTGTATCACTGGCCTAGTCCCTAGTGCACAGCAAAAGAGCGAGCTAAAAAGTATCAGCAGCTTGTAAGGGGAGGAAAGACCAGGGATAAATTTCTTTTCTTCCTCCTTTCTCCTGACAGGAGAGAGATCTCTCCCTTGCCTCCATCTTCAGCCCTGGTGAAATGAACTAAATTGAATTTCCTAGAGAACAGAAAAAGTATTTGAATTTTGATGCCCAGCATGGCCTGTTCCACTATAGGATTCCTCTGAAACAAGAACAGGGGTTTACATTTCTAATCTATGGGCCAAATTCAACTAAGTTGTTGGGCTAGCAAAAGCCAGCACCATGAGTCCCCCTGTGCCCACCCGAAATCTGCTTAGGAGGGTTAGGAGAATGCTTTGATCAACATGCAGAGGGAGGAGAGGGCAGATCACTCCATTGGGCAAGTAAAAATGCTTGTGTTCATCTCCTTAGTGCAATGCTGAATTCCACCCAGTATTTCCAGGGCTGCTCATCTAGGCTGTGATGTTAAGCTGGTGGCCTATGAGAGTGAGAAGGCAGCCAATCTCAAATCCTGTCATGGCCCTGGGACACTTAAACATCACCATTATTGGTCTTACTGTATGCCACTTTCCCACAAAATTGATCCCAATGAAGCTCACAAGATATCAGATTAACAAATATAACAATTTTTAAACAGAAATAATTAGAAAAGAATGATTCAGGAACTAATAATAAGTAATTGTAATAAATAAATAAATCAGTCTTTGCATAAACAATACAAATAAACTACCCTAGTTTAACAGCTTAAAACTGAACAGCAGGGAGAATAATACCTAACACAGTGATAAAATGGGGTGGGGGGAGATTGCCATTAAAAAAAAAAGCATTCCACAGAGGTCCAACATAATTAACTTTGAATGCATTAGATGGTAACCAAACCTCTTGCTTGTGGCAGGCTACCCTCCCAGCAATCATCTGCATCTCCTCTCCATCTCTTACTAACGGAGGTAAAGATTGACATCCTTCTTTCATACCCCATATACACTCAGTTTCGATAGTGTTCATTCTCTCTCCACCAAACATCCCTTCCAGCCATGTCCATGAGGCACTTAGAAACCATGGTCTGGATTCAACTAAGTTGTTGAGTTAGCAACTCAACAGGTCCTGCTACCACAACAGCACTTTCAGTGGGGATCCTTCTTCAGAGTCTGGCCTTCTGGGCAAAAGCCTGCTAACGCCATCCTAGTTTTCTGCAGCAGGTAGCTTTGTAACCTCTGAATTTGTGTTTTTTTAATATATTTTTAAGAAAATCTACCAAACTGTGGCAGCAGTGCAAACATTCTCCTAGCCATCTCACCCAGAATGCCTCAGTTCTGAAGAAGTTCCTATTCTGTGTCCTTTCGCAAAGTGATGTGAGGCAGGAAGGAGAATATGGAATTGACAGTGGTGGAGGAGAGCCTTGTCTTGTGTTGCGGGTAATAATGTGGGAAGTAAGCATCCCAGGGAAACCCACCACTGGAGAAAATTGTCTTATTCTGCCTTATGACTGGAATAGTCCTGATTTTCTACCACAAAATGATGTTTATTCCCAAATAAATGCATCAGAAGTACAGTATACCTCATTTTATTTCATTAGTCGTAATGGTGCTAAGATTTATGTGAATTAAAAAACTGAAACTGCACACACTCAGAGTATTTCTTCCTTTCTTTTTTACCAGGCTTGCCAACTTTTTTTTTTTCTTTTGCTCCCTCCCCCCAATTATTTTTGGCTCTAACGTAACTGCTTCTACATCTGCTACAAGCATGGACCAGAGGTGTGGGAGCAAAGAGGAAAAGAAAAATGCTAATGGTGTGCTTCACAACTGAAGTTATACACATAGCCATCTAAAGCTCCCACCCTGAAAGACCATAACATCCAGGGTCCAAAATTAACTAGCTGCGCCCAGGGGCAGAGGAAGGGGGTGCGGTGGAGGCGGTCTGCCCCGGGTGTCACCACTGAGGGGGTGACAAAATGCCAGGTGGCACTCACCGTGGGGCCCGCAGTGTGCCCAAGCCATGCATCTCCCCCGGGAGAGACACGGTGGCTTGGGCATGCGCAGGCTCCAACGCTGCTCAAACGGTCCACCCACTGCCTCCCCCTCAGCTGTAGGGCGGCTGAGTGGGAGGAGGCAGGCAGACTCCAGAGGCCCCGGCTCACCCCACCCCACAGGTAGCTGGCCATGCCCCTGGGAGCAGGATACACATGCGGCCCCAGACGCTCGATCACCTTGCTCCGCCACTGGCTGCACCACTGTAATGATAACAGAAAGGGAGGTACAGTGGTACCTCTGGTTACGAACTTAATTCATTCCACAGGTCCGTTCTTAACCTGAGGTACCACTTTAGCTAATGGGGCCTCCCGCTGCCGCCACGCAATTTCTGTTCTCATCCTGGGGCAAAGTTCTTAACCCGAGGTACTACTTCCGGGTTAGCGGAGTCTGTAACCTGAAGTGTTTGTAACCTGAAGCGTCTGTAACCCGAGGTACCACTGTATAGGATTATAAGAGGAAACAATCCAGCTGCAAAAAAGAATTACCTTCATGAAGCAGAGAATTTTACTTACCAAATACCGTAAGTGAAAGGAGCAGATTTTTTCTGAGCGAAAGGCAGAACCGCACACATATGTTCTTCTTCCGAGCCTCCACTGGACTCAGGTGGCTTTCATGCATTCGCACTTCTACCTGCTTTGGCATGTTGTTGGCACTAAATAAAAGAAGCAGGGGAAATTAAGACACTGTAAGGTTGGAGTATGCAAGACTTTATGTTGTCACAAAGGAGAAATCAACCAGTTTACTATCATGTTGTTCACCATGACTTCTTAGTGTTACAAAATTATTTGTAGGTTTCCTTCCTTGGAAGCTAAAATATTAAATACAGGAGCTAAAATATTATTACTTATTATATGCCTAACACAACTACATTCTGCACAGAAATTTAAAACTAAGGTCTTCTCCATGTGTTTAAAATCTAAACAGGAGTGTTGAACCTCTGGCCCAGAAGATGTTCTTAGATTACAACTCTCATCATTGGCCATTCTGGCTGGAGGGACTTAGAGGACACTGATATCTGAGGACAGTGGCAGACACCACTTGCCACTGATCTAAAAAAATCAAATACAAGAAATTGGGGGAAATTTCTTAAAATGAGAGAAATTGGAGGGGGGAAATGAACATGCCTATATAAACACTGACAGAAAAGCAAATGGAAACATTAGGAGGGACTGAACAAATCGGATCTCCACAGCAAAGCATTTGGGACACAGCAAACAACCAGAGAAAATGTTCACTGAAGAAAAGAAAAAGGAACTACTGTTCAGAAAGCCAGAAAGAATCAGAAGAATGCATAGATAGTTGGGCAAGAGCAGTGCTTCTCTTCCAGAGTTCTCCCAATTCCTAAGTCTTTCAATTCAGCCACTGCATTGAAGCTAAAGACTTCCTGCTTGAGTGATGTGGAGCCAGCTAGCTCTTTAACCACGTTCTTCAGAATCTGAGGTATAGCCTTCTCTTTTCTTTTTTCTTTTTATGGTGCCATCTGCCTCATCACAGCTGCCAGCCCCAAACGTTAACTTTTTAATGAGATTGAAATATGTACTTTAATGAGACCAAAAACTTTTAATGAGCCTCAAAATCAAGCATAAGGCTTGCGCTCCCAACAATTCTACTTTATGTGATAACTTAAGTATTTCACGAGTTGTTTACAGCTCAGGCTCAACTTATTATAGATTGCATCTCTGTGTCTCTGTCGGCCAACACATCTGAACATTGCTACGTCAGAGCTGCTTCACATTAACCGAGGTTCAACAGAAAACGTGTTGCCTAAATACCAATACCCAAGAATGAACATGGATGGGAAAGAGACTGCTTCATACTACCCACAAAGACAAGGATTGTGGTTCCTGACTTTTCCAGCATTCAGCTTCCAGATCTAGAACAATGAAAGAGAGAGAACTTTTCTCTAGCCACCTTCTCCACACCATACATAAGAAAACAAAACACCCTGAATAAAAGAAACGTCTGCATAAAAGGAAGGAGATGAAGCATAAGGGGACATCAAAGACAAATCAGTTTTTGTTTGTATATTCATGTTAAGGTTGTTCTTTTCCATTGTGCAACTCATGAGATAAGAATCACCAGGATTTGAGCAGGATGATGATGACTGTCTGCCCTCCATGAAATGGCTTGGAGGTGAAAAAAAACATGTTTTCACAAAAAAAGTTTGCATTTGGAAAATGTGAAGACTATCTTGTGACTTTATTTCTATGATGTTTAACTCCCTAAAGCCTAGCAACTTGACCCTTTCTGCAGAAATTTATTGAGAATCAGAAAATCCATATTCAGATCTCTGTTCTAATTCAAGGGGCACTGAATCACTTCTCCATGAGTGTCCAGCAACGTGGCTTGGGAAGTTTATCATCATGGAAATAAAGTCACACAGTACACTCTTCACAATTTCCAAATGCATATGTGACAACATTTAGCCTAAGCAAGCTGTCCCCCCCCCCCACAATATGCCTTGTAAAATGTGGATTCATTTCTGTCAGCACCATCTTCATTTTGTATGTACTGTTGAACAATTCACACATCATTGTTTTCCTGGACACTTGTCTTGTTTTAATGAGCCTGCATTTTGAAAGAGGATTCTTTGATTTTAGAACCATGGTATCAAAATTCTTTCGTTCAGAATCTTGTATTAGTTGCAACTGCAAATGTCCAACTCTCCAAAGAAACTGTATTAGGTCAATGAATTGCAGAAAAGATACAGAAACACTGTGGCTGCTTTTCTGGGGATTTCAGCCCACGGGGCTAAGGTAAGTAAGTAAGCACAATATACATTTGGGGGGGGGGTGGAAACTCAGGGTAGAATAGCAGCACTGAAGTGTTCATAATTAAAACAATATTTGGTTTAATAACTTTGTCAGGGGCAATAAATTCTGGCATCCTTTTCTTTCAAAGAAGACTTTTTCTTAATAACCTTTCTAGATGGTTGCTTCTCAGGGACACCAATTGCTTGCTAAACGGTTGTCTATATTTACCCAGAATCTGGTGAAGCATTGAGCTCTAGTTCAGCTGCAACAGGCAAGTTTATGAACATTTTGGAAATTTTTGTTACATGCGGCGGATTGCAGGTCAGTGGCTGGCTGCTAAAAGGCAATTCTCGCCACTGAGGCTACCTGGGCCTCCAGTGACAGAGAAGAATCCAAAACCACTACCAAACTGCATATCTGCTCCTTCAGGGCAATTGCAACTGTGTTCAGGGCACACAACTGACCAACTTCTTGAACATGGGACCCCCTCACCCACCCATCTTACCAGGAGTCAAGCCCTGCCAATTTCCCCTCATCCATCCCAACATTGCACCCTGCCTCTCCTGATCCAGAAGTTGTGATGAAATAGAGTGACACCTTGCTTCAAACTCCTGGTGACAATTCTCAGCACCTTCATGAAGATACTAAACAGAATTGAGGGTAGTAACTGCGTGGGGCCCAAAAAGTACTCCCCAAGTGCTACTTTCTGGACTTGGTCCCTTAGATAGGAACAGAACTACTGTAACACAAGGGCTACAATTTCCATTCCATGGAGCCAGGAGGATATCATAGTCAATGGTAACAGAAGCCATGGAGAAGAAACAAAAGCAAGGTTGTGTTCCACTATATTGATTTTAATATAAACCAACATGGAAGGAAATAAAGATAAAAATCGTAACTTCTATGAGTGTACTCATTGCTATTGCTACTCATTGCTATTGCCAACAAAAAAGAAGAAATGGCCATCATCCCATCTTAATACTGATGGGAAAAACATACATTGGAGACGAGGGTTGCAATCTGCAAAGCAAATGAACTCTAAGCCTGTTCCTTCTTCATTTCACTACATCTCCTATGCCAGATATGTTTATATCATAGTTGGAAGAAACTTGTCTGCTGTAAATTGCCTCCAGTGAAATGGTAACGTTTCACAAGGAAACTGATGCACTTTGGGTAAAATAGTGGACTTTGAGCATATGCCTTGGAGAAGATGAATAAACTAATGAGAGAAGGTTTTTCATCCCTAAGACTGACCATCATGGACACATGAGTTAAAACTATTTGTGCAACGTGAAAAGCACCATTGTTTATCTATCCTTTTATCATCAGTATCAAAAACAATGCAGCTATTTTAAACAATTTTGGAACGAGAATGTGCTCCAATGTGGAATATGCTGATCAAGTTCAAGTCTTGATTAGGTTCTTCCACAACCACCTCAAACAAAATCTATATTAAAACCCCACTGAAAAAATGCAGAACTTGGTGAGGTCCACTGCACACCGGTCATTGAGTATGTGAGCTGTAGCACCAGATGGCTCAAGTATTGAAGTTCTGCCTTCGCCTACCAAGAAAAAGACAAATACAGTACTGTATTTGCCCAAATGACCTTGACTTCTAGCACTCAAGCATTCTGGGGAATCTTAGATCCATGTGTGAACAGTTCAGATCCATTAATAAGGACAGCAAAGCATAAGAGGAAGGCATCCTTTCCAGGGGTAGCCATTCCTAGCAGTGACTTGGAATAAATATGAACTATGAAGTAACGACTGCTTAAGATTCTTCTCATACATCTGCATTTTATTATATGGGATTTAAGCATGTTTCCACTGTTCTTTCCTTGGCTGCTGTTGTCTGTGCTTCTCATAGATGCTGCCAGGAGATTCTTAGCTGCAGAATAGAAACCTATCCAAATGCTCCCCCCTCTGCTAGCTCAACTAAAGCCAAGATAAATACTGAGATTATTTGTTTGGCCCATTCGCTTACTCCGTGAGAGCTTCTGTGTTTCAAATGACATATATGTCTAGTGAAACATGCATAGGTTAAACTACTGGACTTTAGAGGGATCTGCACACAAGGTATATATTATTGACGTTCTATCTAATGATTGATTGATTGATTGATCGGATAGAGATCTTATTATACATAGATATATAGCAAGTGCTCGTTCAAATGGTGAGTGGGGAGAGAGCCAGGGCCTATGAATTCAGGGTGGGTATCAATACTTGCTGGGTACCCAATACTGGGAAATTGCTATGGCCCCAGTGCTCCAGCAGGACCTACTGCTGCCACTTGCCCTGAGCCCCACATTAAAAAAAGAAAATTGCTTGATGCTCTTTGCTAGGCATAGGCAAACTCAGCCCTCCAGATGTTTTGGGACTACAACTCCCATCATCCCTCACCACTGGTCCTGTTAGCAAGGGATGATGGGAGTTGTAGTTCCAAAACATCTGGAGGGCCGAGTTTGCCTATGCCTGCTCTTTGCAGTGCTGGATGGTTGGATTTCACTGACATATTAATTTCCTACAATCTCCCTGATGCAGTATCACTCTGGAGCATTGTGGGAAGTTAAAATGCAGAAAGACTCAGGCACTTGATCCTGCTTCAAGTACTGACCAGAGTGCTGCAGCCACCAAGCAGGCCTGATAGGGCAGACCAACTGAGGAAAATCTAGATGCCACTTTGCCTACAGCCTTCTCATCCCTGGGGCTATCCCTGTATGAAATGCTAGGCTGTGTGGTCCAGACATGGCAGAGAAGATAAAATGATGGCCAGCCCACCAGCACGGTTGTTGTGGTGCTGAATTGCTAGTCAGGATGATTGTGAATCCAAGGAAATCTAGATTGCCTTTGCTGTGTCAAGCAGTTATTGAACATCATCCCTTTCATATACATTACTTCCAGTTGTGTATATTAGACTAACGTTATAAGCCTGTGGCCTGATTTTGACTCCTAAGTCCCTCATAGCATCACTGGTTTGGGCTAGGCAATATTTGTTTACCAAGGTTAATTTGAATGGATTGGCACTGATACAATTTCTAATTTGGGTTTCTCTGACTCACGATAGTCTACTAGTCTGATCCTTGATAGCAATCTTGAACATCTGTGCAATAGTTGCGCTTTTCACATGGAATACAATGTTGCATTTTTACACATTGGTGCCATTTCAGTGAAATCACTGCTTCAGGTTTCATAAGGACAAACACAAGCCCCCTTTGTGCATCTTTTGCATGAAGAGGGGCAAAGCATGTTGTCAGGGACTTCCAGAATACGTCTCCACCCCCACCATGATGGCATCCATTTCTTCCCAGTCCCATCACTGTCCCATGAGTTAGCATGCACATTTGAGGGTTCCTCGAGAAAATCTGTTCATTTGTCCTGATTTGCTTGCACAAATCTTATGTGGTAGTTAGACTATGTCCAGTCTTTATTTAGCATCTTATGATTTGCTTACACAGCAGTTATACAATGACCATTCATCCTGATTTGCTTGTGGGGTGCTTATACACCTTACCATTAAACATTCATTCACCCACACTTTTCAGTGGATCTCCTTGTTATGGTCTTAGCTGCCATGTGTGCACCTTAAAAACAACAACTGTGTGCTAGGGTGACTGGTTGCTTTAATCCATTTTAACTGGGCAAACCTAAATTTCTGGTTTGTGCTTGAATTTCTCCTAACAATTCAGAAGCACTCTAAGTCATATGTGTGTTGAACTTTCAGGCCCACCCACTCCCATGTTTCAAGTTTGTGCTGGGCCTAGAGAAACTGCAAAAGACCAAACAGGCCAACCAATCAGGCAGATTACAGTTTCAGGGAGGGACAAAGAGTAACAGAATATAACTTTGTCCTACCTGCCCTAGTAGACCAGACTGTCAGCAGTATCTTCCTGCTTCGTTGTAAGGGTTCCTAACTAGGCTAGAAGCAGAGAACTCAGGACAGATCAATTGGCCACAGGTGAGACTGCATTCCAAGGCAGCTGCGGATAAGGAAAATTGATTCCTAATGGAACTGACCGTGCACTTATCTCAGTTCAGTATTATAATTAAGGCACAGAGGTGAGGTGAGCTCAAGAGGCAACTGCAGCAATCCCTAGGGAAGTGGTTGCTTGACCCATATTACCTAACTTGGGCTTTGAGTGAAGCATCTTAGCAGTGCAGTCCTCCACATGTTTACTCAGAACTAAGTCCCACTAAGTTCAGTGGTGCTTTCTCCCAGGGAAGTGGGCATAGCAGCCTTCACCAACCTGGTTACTTCCAAATGTTTTTGGACTACAGCTCCCATCAGCCCTGGCCCAGAGTTCTAGTCCAAAACATCTGAAAGGAACCAGGTTGGTGAAGGCTGGGGTCCAAGACAGCTGCCTTAGGGCCAGATTCAATGAAACTGTTGTACTAGCGCTAGTGAGAGCTACTGCAATTAGCCTCGCTAGTGCAACTGTACCTTTCTTCCTCTTTCCCCCCTGTGCACCCCCACCCCAAATTGGCTTGGGATGCGAGTGTGTCCAGGAGAACCCCCAGAACAGTATACCAGAGGAGGTGAAAGGAGATTATTCCGTCTAGTAAGGAGAAATGCTTGCACTAATGGAATGATTGTAATACTGAGTTCCATACTTAAGCACACTTATCCTGCCTGATCCTACAGCTCCATGTCATTAACACATCTTATTTCCTAAATTATTCTCTCTCTCTCTCTCTCTCTCTCTCTCTCTCTCTCCTGCCTTCATACTTAATACCTTCCCCTCAAAAAAGCCCCCAACAACTCTAATTGGGGTTGTTATCATCACTGTGATTTCTTACCAGGCAGCATCGTCCTTACAGAGTCATTAGGCGTAGACTGCTTTCATTAGTTAGAAGGAGCAATCCCATTAAGAGCCATTTGGATACTAGACGATGAAAGCAAAACAACCCCCACCCTAAATCCCTTCATTTTTGAGGATGTGCTACCTTTCTGTGAGATGTTAAAAGGATTACAGAAATCAAGTGTAGCATAATAGAATCTCTTGTGACAAATTATTTTAGGTCCTAAAGCTTAGTATGTACGGCTTTATCCTTTTTGACAGCTGTTTCTTGGAGCAAGTATATATGATCACAGTGCAGCCTGATTTGATGAGTGCATGCCATCTGGTGGAACCGAAAAGGCTTTTTGCAAAGGGAAGCTTTGAACGATCCAATTCTTCTCATCTAGAGTAAAGCATTTTTCCTGGTTCCTTCCGTAGTTTAACAGCAATCTTCTTTTTCAGGGTTCCTCTTTACCCCTCCTTCCCTGCCCCCACTCTCAACCCAATAGAATCCTATCCTTCACACACTGATAACTGAATGCACTGCTATAAAAAAGATTGAAAGGAAGCCTCAAGGCCCCCTGGTGTGTATGTGAAATGAACCAAGCAGCAAACTAAATAGGTTACCCAGGTGTGCTATTTTTATACTCAGCCTTCCTCAGATGTGTCTGAAATCAGAAAAATATATATACCGTATATACACTGAACATCAACAACAAGTACCGTATATATTTGTCACGTTGTCACTTGGTGGCAATACAAAAGTGATAGTACCCACTCTCTGAAATGCCTTCTCTCAGGTAATTGATGAGCTGGAGACAGTAATGGTCTTTAAACGCCTTTTAAAGACCAATGAGTGGGATTCAACTAATGAGTGCTTGTCAACAGAAGCCCTGGACAAGGAAGTCACACGTTCCCATTCTCTGGCCCATTGGACATATAAGGTAACAACCTAGGAGCTTCCAGCTGTTATTTCAACAATGGATGGCTGGGGATATGTTTTTGCCCAACTTTTACAGAATCTTGATCAGGACTGGAATATGGAGAGAGGCATTTCTGGGGACAGTAATTGTCCCCTATCTCTAGTTGCTGCCAACACTTTTGTCCCAATGGGAGATTCTTTCAATATAACCAAAGAGAAATGAACACAGAAGAGTTCAAGGCCCTGTTCCAGTCAACATTCATTTGTTCTCCCTGATTCCCACGCCCAGCCAAGCATGTTTAAAAATTTAGAAGTCTTGTGTTTACACTGAACAGCGCTTAACAGTGTTGTTGTAGATTGAAGAGTAAATTCTTTGCCCCGATTTTTAGCTGGAATTATCCTCAGTCATCTCAAAAATGACAAATTGCATAATATTCTCAACTTCAGAAATGTTCTCTGTGACTGCGTGTTTTCTCTTGCAGATTCTAAAGTGCATTATATAAACATAATCTAGGATGAAATGGAGAGTCACAAGGCAGAACTTAAAGGCAATGGCTAAAAGGCAGCATAAAGTGATTAAAGAACTCATGTGTTTACACAGTAGGCTTTAATTCCAATGCTGATTTTTCACAGGAACCCATCTACAATTATTATTATTATTTATTTGATTTATTACCCATCCTTCACCATAAGGCATTGCTCATGGACTTCTGCCTCACCTTGCCTTTGGAGCATGATGAACAAACGAGATGAATTTTAACAGGGAGAAATGTAAAGTATTGCACTTGGGCAAAAAAAATGAGAGGCACAAATACAAGATGAGTGACACCTGGCTTGAGAGCAGTACATGTGAAAAGGATCTAGGAGTCTTGGTTGACCACAAACTTGACATGAGCCAACAGTGTGACGCGGCAGCTAAAAAAGCCAATGCAATTCTGGGCCTCATCAATAGGAGTATAGCATCTAGATCAAGGGAAGTAATAGTGCCACTGTATTCTGCTCTGGTCAGACCTCACCTGGAGTACTGTGTCCAGTTCTGGGCACCACAGTTCAAGAAGGACACTGACAAACTGGAACGTGTCCAGAGGAGGGCAACCAAAATGGTCAAAGGCCTGGAAACGATGCCTTATGAGGAACGGCTAAGGGAGCTGGGCATGTTTAGCCTGGAGAAGAGGAGGTTAAGGGGTGATATGATAGCCATGTTCAAATATATAAAAGGATGTCACATAGAGGAGGGAGAAAGGTTGTTTTCTGCTGCTCCAGAGAAGCGGACACGGAGGAATGGATCCAAACTACAAGAAAGACGATTCCACCTAAACATTAGGAAGAACTTCCTGACAGTAAGAGCTGTCCGACAGTGGAATTTGCTGCCAAGGAGTGTGGTGGAGTCTCCTTCTTTGGAGGTCTTTAAGCAGAGGCTTGACAACCATATGTCAGGAGTGCTCTGATGGTGTTTCCTGCTTGGCAGGGGGTTGGACTCGATGGCCCTTGTGGTCTCTTCCAACTCTATGATTCTATGATTCTATGATTCTATGAACAGGATATCTCCCCACCTCCCGGACTTGAGAACTTGGAACACATAACATCTCTCCCTTTTCAAGATTCCACCTCAGTTTATTGGCTCACATCTAGTCCGTCACTGTCTCCAAGCACCTCAGCTGTAATGTATTTCAATGTATTTATTTCTCTTTCCTCTTAGTTTTAATGTATCTGTGTGGAGTTATCTGGTTGGTTGGTTGGTTGGTTGGTTGGTTGTAAGTCACTTTAGGTTGCCATGGGCAAGATAAAGCGACTGACAAATTTAATAATAAACAAATAACTACTGCCTCTCCTGACTCGGGTGGAGTAGAGCAGGAGAGCTGGGTGTCATCTGTGCATTGATGACAGCTCCTTTGGTGCTCAGCAGTGTACCCTCTGAATAACTACTCTCTGGAAAGTATTATTAAGGTAGTTACGGAACAACGGAAGTACAGTGCCCCTGACCATCACCTCCCTGTCACATTCCACAAATATTGAGTGGTATTGAAATCAACTCAAGGAGAAAGTCAATGGTACTGGAAACCACTCATTCAAGGAGAATGAGCAAGGTTGCAGACCCCACATCTCTCTCCTAAGAAATGATCTCTCCCCCAACAAATGTCATTTACCAAGGTGACCAAGGTGGTTTCAGTGCCAAACTGGCCCCAGAGCCAGACTGGAATGGATCGATCAGTTTTTCTGATTTAATCCATCAGAAAAGAGCTTTCATGAATAGAAAGGAGAGGGGAGCCCTTTTTGCTGATTCCCTGTCCCCCTTACAGTCTGCTCCCAAGGCTTGGAGTGTGAGAGATGACATGAAAGGCTGACATTTTGGACCAGCTGTAAGGGAAGCCACACAAAAAGTATGGGGCAGTAATCTAGTCT